GGTAGGGAACTTTATGAAGGGCGTAGGGACCGCCCTAAAAGAGGATGTGATAGTTTTTTTGGAGGGGTTTGAAAATGTGGAAATGGTAATTGAAGAAAAGAGAAATGTGAAAAGGGAAAATGGAAATAAGGGTTTTTAAGGGGGTTAAAAAAAGGGGTCTGAAAGAAAATTAATAAAAGTAAAACAGCTGGGAATGCAGATTCACTCCAAAATAGGAGTAAAACGGGATGAAGAGAACAAATGTATAATTAGGTTTTTACGGGTGTAAAAATGAGGAAAGACGAAAATGCAGAAAATTGTAAACACGCAGGAATGCAAATTGCATTCTGAATCATAGGGTAAAAAGGGGAAAAGAAAGAAAAATATTATATAATATTATAATAAGAACAGCATATCTTACAGATATTAAATACTAAGATAATTATTGGATTAATTCTATTGAAAATTTCCACTTTCCGTCAAGGAATTCTTTTTTTTTTTTTTTGTTTTCCACGCTTTTATTAAAATTTTAATCTTCTTTCTTACTTCATATGTTTACATTTCAGTTATTTAAATATTCTCTCTTTTCATTTTTTGTTATACTTTTTTTTTAAAATTGAACAATTGTAATTATTATCGTTATTGTTTCTGTTAATGTCAATTATAGCTATAATTATCATCATTATTATTACTGATAATGTTATCAGTGTAATTTATGTTATTATAGTAAGTGTAATTATTATCGTAATTATTATCACCAGTATTATTATATTGCTATTATTTGTATTGTTATTGCTATGATGGTTATTATTGTCAGTATTCCTGTGTTATTACTAATCTTACTATATTACTGTTCTATGTTATTATTATTGTATTATTATTGTTATTACTATTATTATTATCATTATCATCATCATTATTATTATTATTATTATTACTACTTTTGTTGTTGTTATTACTATTGTTATTGTTATTACTATTATTATTATGCTCGTTTTTCTTATTATAACTATTACTATTCAATCTTTGTTAGGTGCTAGGACATTGATTATACCTGACTAAAATTATAAGTGCTATTCAGCGAGTAAATATTCTGAAAGTGAAGTACGTTGAAAATGTTAAAAATTTAAATCTCTAATATATATGTAAGAAATAAATAATTTAGCTGAGATTAAGACATTTCAGTCCGTACATTGTTTTACGATTTTACG